TGGCCAAACTCACAGTATTGCAAATTATCCTTCTGGGCTCTTTGCTCTTGATTTGAAACATAAAGCTCACTAAAAGCCACCAACAATAGCCATGCCACAGCCTCAACATTCGATTGCTTTTTAATTTCTTTTTCAAGATTAATCAGTCCATTGCCCTTTGTCTCAGTCTCAGGCAAAGTCTCTGGGCAGGAGCAAAATGCAGACAAACTTTCTGCCAACCCATAACACACATCATGTGGAGCCCAACAACCAATACCATCCTTCTTCCCAGCAGAAACCTCCCAAGCCTGGTCTTTACCATCAGGTTTTCTATCAGCCTTCTGGTCTCCTGAGCTCTGACCAGAGTCTTCTCTACAGAACAGCCTAAACTCCAGCTCTATGCATCCAGGCAACATGTCTGAACCTTTCCAAACTCTCAAGCCATCTCCCACAAGCCATTTCCAAAGCCTCTCGAAAAACATGGTCAGATATAGTCACAGCAAATGACCCCGCTCCTCGGTACCAAATTCTGTCTACGTGACTTTATGCTCGTTGCTGAGATGAAACACCTGAAGCCCAAGCTGGGAAAGAAAGGTTTATTTCTTACAGTTTTTGGAGGTTTCAGTCCACACTCAGTTGGTTCCCAGGCAGGCGGGCATGGCTGGGCCGCCTTTCATGGTGGCTGCAAACAGCAAACAGGAACCAGCAAAGAGCAAGACACAGCTTCCTCCTGTCATTACATCACATCCTGGCTCCACCCCAATATGGATGGCGCACTGACACCATCAATCCAAGACTGGACAATGAACGAATAACAAATGCACAGTTCAAACTCATGAGGCCTGGGGGACACAGACATAAACCATGACAGCATGTATAACCCTCAAGGAAACACAAAGTCATAATTCTGTCTAAAATGATAAAACTGTCCTGTAGAACTGAAAATGCAGTAATTTCCTCTCCAAAGTTTCACCGTTCCAGCATTTATCACCAGTCCAAGTCCAATTCTCTTCAGTCTCAAAGCAAACTCCTAGCTGTGGGCCTCTGTTAAAATAAAATCAACTTATGTAATCCCAAGGTAATAATGAAACAGAGTAAATATTATTGCTACAAAAGAGAGGAACCAGTGTGATAACTCATACCCTGGAATAAAATCCAAAGAAGCAAGAGATTGAAATTTGGGGAGCAAAGGCTTTATTTTAGGCCAGGCCTGGTGACACAGCCTCCGGTAGCAAATTTGGAGACTGTGTGCCCCAGAGACTGAAGAAAGGGATTTTAAAAGCAGGAGAGGGGGAGAAAACAAAACCCACAGAGCTGTTAAGCTGTTGACTCAAGTCTGGAAACTGTAAAGCTGTCCACTTAGTTCTGATAACATCGGGAGCCTGGCGCCTTTCAAGTTACTCCCATTCTGCAGATAAGCATTATCTTGGAATAGCACATCTGCAATAACATTCGGAGAGGAAAGTAGAAAGTTAATTATTTTGGGACAGCTTGTTAGCAATAACATGTGGAAGGAAGGAGGCGGTTAATTATCTCAGGACACCTCGTTAATAGTAACATGTGAGAAGGGGTCGAAAGTTACAGAAGCTGAAAGTTAAGTTTTTACAAGGATTTGGAACTTAACACTTTCAGCGCATGCAGAACAAGAAGAGGCGCATTACAGAACAGAAATATGACGAGATTACTTTTTTTGTGGTGGGGGAGGGGGCGAGAACAAGATCAGGTAAGGGTTGTGCTAACAAGCAAGTTTCCCTGCAAACAAACAAGTTACCCTTCAAACAAGTTTAAATTAGGAAAACATCCTGGTTTCCTCAGCAGAGAATAGAGAAGTCAAACAGTAATTAACAGTAATCAACAGTAATTAACAACCCGTGCTAGCTTATTTTAGCACCAAATCTGTTATTTGTAGAGGGCAACAATGGTTAACATATCAATTAGGTAAGATTTTGCAGTTCTTTACAGAGGAGAGTATTGATTAACATATCAATTAGGTCACCCAGAGCGAAAGGAAAAACATATAGATGGTATGGCCATGTTACAGGTAATTTGCTATAATACAAATATAACGAAGTTATTTTTCTTAGTGCAACACCGGGTAGACAGAAAAGAATTGGATCAAAGCAAGGCCAAATCTCAGCAAGGCAAACATTAACCCTACAGCTGTGTGTCCAGAATCCAGGGCACATGGTGGTCCGTGTGAGTTCCAAAGGCTTGCCCCACCTTTGTGGCCTTGGAAGTTGGTTGCAGCCCGTGTGGCCTCTTTCTTGTCCTGGCTCCACTCATGGCCTGCAGCTTTCTTTGGCAGGAATTCCAGGTACCTGGAATCTCTGGAATCTCTGGAATCTCTTCCTGGGGTGTCCACTGTACCTTTTGCTGTATTCTCTATGCCCTTCATTGTGAAAGAGTTCAAGAGTCAGTTAAAAAAAATCACAAAAACACTAATCACAAAAATGCAACTAAAACCTAGTGTGGCGTAATAAACTGTAGAGTACCTCTTGCTTTAGTTCCCTAAGCATGTGTTTATTTTGTTTAATGGTTAATTTAGATCTTGTAACTTAGATCTTTTAACTTAACTAGTGTTTAACACTATTCATTATATATTCTACTATCCATAATGTGAGAAATTATAGAATCCAGTTCCCTTTACCACACCTACTACTCTGGAATATGTTTACATTTTTACAATTAAAGTATTCATAGAATATGACAGCAGGGCACTCAAAGTCTAGTGTAGTTAACTATGGAATTTACTTAGAGATGAATTTCCTTATACTACTAAAACATGGGTCGGTTAGTTTGCTTTCAATTGGAAGTAACAGAAAAAGCAACCTAATTGGACCTAATGAAAAATTAATAAACTGGTATTTGCACAAAGTTCAGAGAGAGAACAACCCCAAGCTGACTGGTTTTGAGACTGACCACATATTAGCCTGAGTCTTTGGAGTTAGTATCATTTCATATTTAGTTTTCCTCTGTGTTGTAGCACAGCTGCCAGTCACAGCAAGGCATGCTTACTTAATTTTTCATCCAGCAGAGAGCAGTTGTTTCCCTAAGAAACCAGGCAAATCTTGATCTTCCATCTTCTGGCATCAATTTGTCTCCCCTCCCAAACAGTGGCATAGCTGTGTCTTTGAAGCAATGTTGATTGATTTACTGCCCGGCCACATCCACTGATCTCAGTTCAATGTTTAAAGTTCATGGCTACAACACGAAGGCATGTGGAAATAAGTTCAAAAGTCACTCTCTCCATCCCATAGATTTGCTCAGAAACACTTATGTACCTCCTGAAGTGACATTTGATTATATATTCATTCTGAAGTCGACTGAAATTAAAGAAATTACATATTGTGTTTCTGTCGGTTAGCATCTCAAGTAGATCTCTGCAAAAGCTAAGTGCCAAGATGGGAATCTTACTAGATTTCAGGAATTTATAAGGCATCAAGATTCAAATATACAGAAGAAGTACAGACTGATGTTTTCATTCTTTGTTCAATATAAAGTATTAGTTGTAAAATAAATAACTTTTAAACGGCTTTTGAAGTGTTGAAGATAATAAATATGTTCAAGAACATGCATAGCTAGGGAGAATCTTTCAACTCAGGGTATACGCCTCCTCTGGTGACCAAGACGGCCCTATGCAATGGCTACCATGCAAAAATATTTCATAAAGTCCAACAGACAGCATCATGTTATTCATCTATAGGAAATAGACCGTGGTATCATCTACATATGTATAATGCATATATCTTTAAAATATGTGAAGAAGTAATACATAGACATTGTTGCAGAACTTAACATCAATAAACAGACATTTTTAAAAAGTCTGTTTCTCAATTGCACTAGACTCCTCTTCACTAGAAGCCTAAAACTATCAGTTTCTTGCATGTCCTTCCCCAAACATTACACATACATGAAAGAGATGTATTCTTTCTAAAAAAGAACATGTGGAATTCATATCACACAGAGCTCTACACCTCGCTTATTTTCATTTAACAAGATTCTCACACATGGAAAAGAAAAGTCACAATCTCCCAAGAATCCGCCATACTGGGACTGGGAGAAACTGAGAAGCGAACCAACCAGCCTCTTCCTGGCTTCCAGGAAAAGAAAAGCCAGTGCCTCCTGTGAGCCTATCTGCGTGCGGGCTGAGAATGAACTCCCCACCCCTGCCGTCGCCATAAGCAACCCGCTGGATCCGCGGTCTGGCTAAGTTGATAGCAACTAAAGTGCATAAAGCAACTAAATGCTTCTCTTGTCTGCTTGATTTTGCAGGCCTGGACCAGCGGTCTGAGCATCTCTTGGGAGGATGACAGTATGCAATATAGCAAATATGGGGGATTTCCTTCTGTCTTGTCTTTGAAGTCCAATATTGTTCTCACTGTACTGGTTTGTTCTGATTGTTTTGTCTTATTCAATATTTTGTTTAGACTGGTTTTATTTTTGGTTTGATTTTGCTTTACCTGATGCAATGGACAACTACTGTGAAGATAACAAGATATACTGTGGTAGCTATTGTTTTCCTAGTATCCTGCTTTGAAATTCTATATCAGTTTTGCTGCTTTGTTTTGACTGGCTTTGTTCTCTCTCTCTTTTTTTTTTTTGGATTTTACTATCTAAAAAAAAAAAAAAAAAAGATTCTCACACATGGAGATTGACCTGAGCAAACTTTGTGTAGCTGCATGAATCTTATGACCTTGAAGCTAAAGAGAGACCAGCAGCTGTGCTGAGCTGAGGGATGATGTAAGGGGTTACCTAAGGACCAGGTGGGGAGAATGCAAAAGGAACGGGTGTGCTGGAATAAAGAGCCACAGCACCTGGAGTAAAGGGGTGAAAAACCACAGACAAGAAGTAAAAGTCACGGGCCTCACAAAAATGTCAAAAACGACTTGTAATTTTGAGGAAGTTGGAGAATACTTCAACAGTGTTAGAATGCTACAGAAACAAAGTTATTCACTTCACATTTTTTTTTCTTTTTCTGTATATATTTTTCAATGGGTTACTTTGAAATTAAAGCCTTACAAACTGATGTATCCCTTAGAGTTAGGAAACGCCTGCCTTGGCGATTCTCTGGTTCACCACTAGATGGACCAATTTGACATCTTGTCTTCCAGGACAGTGGACGTTCACACTCGGATCTTTCTATTATCTTCATATGGATGTAAACTGCTGATCTTAAATGTGATCCACTTGAAGTTTTAAAAATACACTCGGTCTTAACCAAAAGGCCGAGAAGCAATTGAAGTTTTAAAAGTATAAAATCACTTATAGAAGTAATTAATAGAAGTTCCTTGTGTATGTAAATAATGATAATTAGAAACAAACACCAGTATAATCACCACCTTCTGGTGCTGATTAATACAAACAGACAAATCTTTGAAGCTAACAATGCTCCCTCTCTGATGGTTTCTATTTCCCACATGGATAAATCACCACTGTGATTTATAAATTACCAGTTACCTTAAAAATAGTTTTATAATATATGATGTATCCCTAAATAATATAATGTTTAACTTGTCCTGGTCTTAAAATTTGTATTTTAAAAGCTCCTATATGGCCAATGAATTAGAAGATCATCAGACCAGTGCTGACACTTGGCATATTGACAGACGTATGGTTCTAATTCCCAGGATATAAATTGGCAGAACCCACTTTTCTATGCAGAGTGCCTTTGGAGACATGTGCCAAAGAGCCTGCTTGTTTGCACCAACCGAAACCTGGCATCACTGGTGGGGTGAACACAACCCAACAGCTGAACGCTATCTGCTGTGCTCTGGCTGCCTCAGCCTCCCCAGCACTGGTCCTGTCTGGAGACATGTATAAAAGTTCCTATATTTTCTTTTGTAGTCAAAAAAGGTTGCAAGAAGACTAGGGAGGCTATTTTGTTTAAGACCTTAAGCACAGAATATCAACAAAAGTTTGTACTTCTCGGGGCTGGGGATTTAGCTCAGCGGCATAAGCACTTGCCTTGCAAGCAGGCGGTCGTGAGTTCGATCCCCGGTACCGATAAAAAGGAAAAAGAAACAAAAAATGTAAAAAAAAAGTTTGTACTTCTCAGCAAATGAGAGCTGAAAAGGGCAACATGAGAAACTGCCGTCATATCTCTGCTTCACTTCTGATGAAGACAGTGGTATCACGAAGGCTGTTAGAAATATTCCAAGCACTTTTATAGACAGTGGAAGCAGACTGAACACTTTGAAACTTCCACCTGGCAGGTGTGTAGGAGTTTTCTGCATGTGTACTGAAAAGAGTTTCTGGAAGCTAAATAAAGCGGTTGGCACTAGCTTTAAAGATGGTTCTCTCAAGAGTAAGTGTAACCTGCCTGTGCGCATGTGATCAATCAAGAGCTCAACGGCATCTTGAAAAGTTGAGAGATCCAGAGTCCTCGGAGCACCACACAGGAAGATTCACCACTGACATCCAAAGAAGGATCCACTGAAGGACATGAGGATCATGCTGAAGACCGTGTGCTGGAACGCCAGTCTCCACCAGGCCAGGAGTCACAGAGTCCTGAGAATAAAATTGCAGCCAGCACAGCACCACGAGCAGCCGTATCAGATCAGAAGGAAGGCAGAAAGCCTGTGGGAGAGAAAAAAGAAAAGAAGGCTGCTGAGGTTAAGAAGCAGAAGCCTTTGAGGAAAAAATCTGCAGCTATCAAAAAACAAAAGAAGAGGAAGAGGAATAAGAAGAAGACAGAAGAAACTGCTATATAAACTATTAAAATTTCACACAGGCCACATAGGTTTGCACTGCTTATTTTGAATAGTGACCTGATCAAAGAGAAAAAAGAAATTCCTATTGTGTATAGTTTTTTCTGTCCCGTATTTGCCACATTAACATTATATTTCAGATTCATGCATGTTGGTGTGTATAGCTCTAATGGGTTTTAAAAACCATCCTGTAGTACTGTGTTACATAAATAGGTTAGCATTAATTTCTCCATTTTGCTGATTTTGGACTAGCTTTTTCCACTCAACATTATGATTTTTAAAAAGATTTTCATATTCATCCAACTATTTAAAATTTAGGTAGATCAAACAACATCTAATAATTCCAATGTCAATCTTCTTGGAGTTTGATTCTTTATCTTTTCTTGTGACTTTCACTCATTTGGACTTGGTTCCTTGGATTTCAATACTTTTTTAAAAATTATGAGCTCATAGAAATTCTCACCCTCCCCATGTTGTTATATCTTTAACTGCAAGGAGTTCCCTGTTCTTTCTTCTGGAGGTCATTTCACCTAGTGCTCCATTTGGCTAACCATCTGTCTCTTTTTAGCAATTATGAAGCAAGCACCTTTTCTTGGGTCAGAATAAGCCATGGTTTATTGTCTTCTCCAGTGATAAGTATGTGGGGAAGCCTGGGGGTAAATCTGTTGCTACTGATATCTTTCACATGAGCCACATCAAAAGCGTTACATTACCTGTTTCTGCCTCTTTATTCCTGTTGGTGATGACAGGTTAGTGCCTAGAGTCAACATATCTAGGTTAAAACAGCTTGATTAAAATTAAAAGGAGGCCATATATTTTGCTAAGAAGGAAATGTAGCCTGGTGAAACCACTGTGGAAATCAGCGTGGAGACTCATCAAAAAGCTAGTTAGAGATTCCATTTGATCCAGATATCCTGCTTCTGGGCGTTTTCCCAGAAGAACTGAAAACATCCTACCAATAGTGATATATGTGCACTCATGTTTATAACAACACAATTTCTAATATCCGAGTCGTGGAAACAACTCAAGTTCCCATCAATCAAGGAGTGGATAAAAATATGTGGTATTTTCATCTATAAAGGAAGACTGCATTGAGATTTTTTAAGTAAATGGATGTGACTGGAGACCATACTCATAAGTGAAATAAATCACACTCACATGTGTAAATACCAGATTGTCTCCCTATGTAAGAAACTTAACTTTATATCATCCAAAACCTATAGTAAATACTGCATAAGGGTAAGAAACTGATCAAAGAGGAAAAGTAATTGGGATAGAGGAAAGGAGAAAAGAAGGGAAAAAGAAAAGACATAAATTTGTGTGTGTGTGTGTGTATGCATGTATGTGTGTGTGTGTGTATATATATATATATATATGATAGCTAAAATGACTACTACTAATTGAATTAGCTTTTGAAAAAGAACAGTTAATATTCATACGATTAGATCAACTTTACAAGTAAGTCCCTATCTGTCATTCTAAGCAACCCTTTTGGAGGTAACAATATGCAATATTACAATCATTGTCAAATTCCTATCCTTTTGTTTTGTAAACCTATACTACTATTGTATGTTTGTTGTTGTTATTTCTTTCTTTTGCTTTTCACATTTCTTTTGTGTCCTTTTCTCTCTTAAATAAATTTTAAAAAATAAAAGAAAAAAATTCTCAAAGGAAGATGCCAGGACTTGGGAGACCAACCAAGAAATCAGCTAGCCAGCTTTCCAGATAAGGTGTGCAAGCCACACAGTTCCCAGGGAATGAAAATCAGAAAGCGCCTCCAGTGATCCTGCTGGCTTAGGGGCTGAGAATCAAACACCATCTGTGCTCCTCCCCCCCCCCCACTCTTAAGCAACCAGGTGGTTGGAGGACAGGCTGAGCTGATAGCATCTAAGGTACATAAAGCAACTGAATGCTTGTATTGTTTGGTTGATTATGCAGGCTTGGGGCCAGCAGTCTGACAGAATGCAATGTAGCAAATACGGGGGAGTTAGTTCTATCTTGTCTTTGAAGTCAAATACTGTTTTCACTGTTTTGTTTTGTTCCGATTAATTGTTTTACTTTATTCAATATTCTATTTTGACTGGTTTTATTGTATTTGGTTTTTGGTTTGACTTTGCTGATGGAATGGACAACTATTATGAAGATAACAAGATATACTGTGGAGCTATTGCTGTTTTCCTGGTATCCTGCTTTGAAGTTCTGTATCAATTTTGGTGCATTGTTTTAATTGGATTCGTTCTGTCTTGTTTTATTGGATTTTACTATCTTTAAAATTAAAAAAATTCTCGGACAAAATTCTTCATTGTTTCCCTTATTCATACTAGAGTCAAGCACAGATAAGTAAGTGTCCCCCTGAGTGGTTAGTTTCTACAGAAGCTCCTTCTAGAATTCTGGCTTATGCTAGACTCTTGGATTCTAATTTCTACACTTCTTAGTGTTACTGTGGCATGGGTCCCTATACTCCAGGCTCTTGTTATGAGGAAGAAAGAGTTACCAAGTATGCACCCAGTAGCAAGTGGCAAGCATCTACATTTATTGAGGATGCAGGAAGCATTGTGCTCAGGACAAACCTGTACCAACAAAAGATAGAACACAGAGGAAAGAAATGTGTCAGTGTGAAAAATACAAGTGAAAGTAAAGCGTAACACAGTACACAGGTCATAGCAACAAGGAACTAGCAACAGCAGAAACTTCCCCCCATACATCAGGCTTTGGAAATTTAAAGGCTATGCACCTCAGCCCAGGTGTCTGTCCTTGAGTCTCTAAGTGTGAACCACAGGCATGACTGACAGGGAGCTTAGGGCCTCTCAGTATGCATGCCTGTCCCACAATTTACTCCGCCTTAGTTATATTTATGATATAGTACACCTTTAATGAGGAGGAAGTAAGGTGAAGGTGACTGGGGGTCATGCTAGGAGATACCCCGTGACTGGGCTTCCTGAGGGCACCAGAGATCTCCTGAGTTTTTGGTCAACAGTCTTGGGGCAACGGAAGGAATGGCAGTAGGTTGCTGTTTAGAAGTACATGGATGGAAGGGAGTGACCTCCTCAGCTCCATTGTTTCTAACCGTACTATTAGAGTGCAGGCTTTTTTCCTCCTGTTCATTAAATGCCATTAAATCACAACTTGTGGACCTTCCAGTTTTGAGTCACATGAGACTGTTGCTGCCACCCTGACAACAATAACAAACCAGGTAAGCTACACTGGATGGCATAGTAAAGGCTGAAAGAGGGCAGAAGAACGTACAGACTCTACTATAAAGTGATGTTCCCCTTCCCAAGTTAAGATAACGGGCCAGTGAAGTGTAGGATAGGACACAATGAGGACTAGAGTTACTCTGGGCTTCACTGACTGTAGTGCAGGAAAGCTCAGAGATCCCTGTGAGACATAGTATGCTTTTACTGGGAATAAATTAGTGATCCTCTGAAAACTAGAAGAAGGCCAGAAAGACCATCTATAAAGATGAGACTGGATCTGAAGAATGAAACAAAATTACCAGCCCCACAGTAAAAGCTGCATTTCAGAAATCATTTGTGGTTCACAAAGCTGGTGGCTGTGCTGTAAAACAGCAAAGAGATTCCTGGTGTCTTCCTGGTACTTCCTTGGTGCTTCTTCAGGGCTAGAAATTCTTAGCATTCTGACGGAAAAAGAGCTGAGAATTTTCTGGAGAAAATACAATTTATGGCAAGTGTTACTGTTCATTTGTGTACTATGTCCAATGTACAATTAAAACTGAAAGGCACACAAGAAGCAAAAAAACAAAACAAAACAAAAAACTGGAGCTCGTGATCATGAGAGGAAAGAAGCAGACCGGAATGAAGATGAATCAGATTTTGGAATTAGCAGACAGAGACTTAAAAATAACCACAAATTGGGACTGTAACTTCAGTAAATCCAGCCAAAGGGTTTTCATTGTTTGCTTCCCCACCTCCCCCAGTACCTTGCCTTCTGAAATGTAGTTTTATCTCCTTTTTTTCTCTCTCTCTCGCTGTCTGCAAACTTCTGCAGATTTTGTTTTCCTTTGCAGCAGTTCGAAGTCTCTAGAACATGAGTGGCTGTGTATAAAACACCAAAGACAGGAAACACTGGCTCCTCTAACCAGAAATGGGAGTTGGGGCTGAGAGGAATCCTCTATGACATGTTGTAGCCTCGTTACATCCTCTCTCAGGTCCATATACCCCACTCCTGGGTCACATGAAAATAAAATTTGATCACCAGATGATCATTTAGATGACAAGTGACATTCTTGGGATCTAATGAAGCCTATGGACTGACACTGGAAAAGGAACTCCTGGTTTCCTTCCTTCCTCCTTCCTCTCTCCCCTGAGAAAGCCCCAATCCTCCTCTTGTCCTTTCTCTCTGAGGCTTTCATCTGTAAGAAAACTCAAATCCTTTAACTTTCTCTGATATTACTTATCAGGGAGAGGCGAGGAGCTGAAGGGAGCAGGGAGATCCACGGGAGCTGGGGAGCTCGGGAAGTTTCCTGGTGTCTCTGGGGAGAAATGTGGCCCATCACGTGAGAGGGGTGCAGGGGAGCATAGGTATTTCCCTGGCGGTACAGGAGACCAACAGGCCCGTGGCAAGGGCTCTATATCAGCTCTCTCAGCTGTTTTCCAGGACCTTCTTGGGTCCCCAGGCTGTCTGTCCAGGCTTGATTACATGTAACTTTTTTTGACAGTCTTGTGGCTGTTTCTACAGCCCTGGCTTGCTTATTTCTTTCAGATATTCATCTAAAAATCTTGGCTACAAGTTTATCTTTCTATCTAAAATGGTATGTACTAGGTGACATCTCCAGACTTTCACAACACTCTGTGAGTTATGTGTGCCATCGGTCCCTAGAATATAAAGATCTTGAGTGTGAAATTGTTG